TTGGTTAATAAAAGTTTAAATTTATTAATTTTAATACATTTGAACTAGAACTCGTATTTTAAAGTAAAGCCTAAATGGTTAATACACATCTCATGAACATGGACTTTCTCGGAAAGGAAGTTTATATTCTTACTGACAGTTAGGCAGTTATTAAAGCTGTCAGCAGTCTGTATTCAATCTAGGTTAGTGCAAGAATGTAGGCAATTTACTAACTCACTAATCGAGAGGACCAAGGTAAGTCTAGTTTGGGTTTCCGCACATTTTAATATAGTAGGAAATGAGCGTGCAGACGAAACTGCTAGACTAGAAACTCCTATTTCAATCCCTGCCCCTGCTAACTACTGTAGGAGGTTGATTTATGACTATTTCTGGCAACAAGCAAATATTCAGTGGGCTTATACTCCCTAGGCAGTTAGGTCAAGGACTACATGACCAATCTATTCTAAATGTAGAACCTCTTACTTAATACACAAAAGCAAACCAGAGGTATCTAGATTAATATCTATCTATACAGGGAACTGGACTATAGGACGGCTTGGGGATAAGCTCTATCTACTATTTAGTATCTCCTGTAAAGTACCTTTTTTGTCCATGTCCAGGCTTGTGTAGAATCAGACTTAACGTTTTGGGGCTCCCTTTAACAGACTCAGCGATATCTTCAGCATTAACATTGGTCAGATTTTCGGCTTTATAAATGCTTCTGACTGGTTCTAGCTTGGTCATTTTTCTATCCATTATTACACGATATTATGGAATCAAAACGGTTTTCTAAACTAATTGAGGAGGATTTGTTTCTTCACTAACTCTACTTCACCTGTAACCTAATCTAACATATCTCCAAAATAAAAAATTAGACGCCTAACAAATTTTTCTCATATCAAAGTCAAATACGACATGTCGCGTGGCTTGTAAGATCATCCATTTCAAATCATGTATCTTTCACATCCATACCTTTATTTTCACATATAAAAACAAAATGGTATTATGTGGTAGGAATGACTGACAGTTTCTGTATTGTTTCACATTTTCGTCATTTTTGAAAATGGGCCTATCACACCGCTAGACTAACTGTCACATCATGTAGTGACTTGGATTTTTTGAATGGATTTTGACACTTAATTGTGGGTTTTTACTGATTTAGGTGCGATAAATTTATATGTTGACATATTCACCAAGTAAAAAATAAGTATTATAATAGAAAAATACGGTCGTCACCATTTTTTGGCAAACCTCCAATTAAACAAGTACTGCTTTTTGATTATTTTTTGTTTTTTTGTTAAAGTGGCTCAATCTTATGTTTTGAAGATACGGTATGTATGTTATATAGCATGTATGTGTATAGCATTATATATGCATGTATGTCAGTATAGTATATTAATTAAAATTCCATCTCTGAAATCACTATTTTCAATATAATTCCAATAAAATCACAAGTTTAAGCTAAACTGTAAATAAATTTTGTAATTTTGATGAATTTTATTGACCTTTTATGGAAACAAAATTTGGAACATAAAACTGGAATTATAGTTTGATTTACTTCAGGCTCTGTGGTAATAAAATAAACCGTTACATGGGAAAACCAACAGATACGCAAACAGTTTTGGAAGTATTTCCTATTTCACATATTGATGCAGTGTTGTTGAATGGATGAGAATAAAAATGTATCTTCCTGGAACATATTCGTGTAAATATATAATATGTGTATATCTACATATAAAATATTTCTGATAATTTGTAAATATTTGCTTACATGTTTTACAAAATTTTGAAAAAGTTGTTCAAACTCACAGTCGAGACAAGTGCTGGCACAATTTTAAGTTTTTGCAGACAGAACTTGTCCCGGAATATTCAACTGCAAATTTTTTCTAAAACAAACTAAAATTTTGCATTCATCCATCAAGCGTATATGTTTGAGTTTTTGGTTTTTATTTCAGAATTAAAAAGTTTTTTATGAATAAATTATTAATTTCAATATTTTGTTAGAAAATTAATTATTAACTACTGTACGAGTATATAGTAATTAATTAAATGAATGTATGCAAAATTTTAATAATTTAAGTATTATTGCATTATATACTAAAACTTAAATTATAAAACTAAAACTATAGATAAATTATATAATTTTTGGAAACTAAAGAGACTAACAGTACATTCACACTGTCTCATTTACGTAGTTTTGCTCATTATAGTCACTAATGCGGATGATTTAATATACAAAAATATTTTTATATAAATCAGCTTATTATAAATAAATCAGCTCATTCTAGCCGAAAAATGTCAAATGCAACCCTTAAAAATAAATTTGGTGCAAAGGAAATGATCAATATTTGATATATGAGTCATATGTTTTATATGTAAAATGTAAACAAACAACAGCTGAGCTGTAAGTAAAGGCACTAAAAGGAAGTAAGTATTTAATAAAATCTTGGTTTTTATAAGTTGAAAATATGTAATTAATATATAAAATGTATACATAAATAATATATAAATGATTTAATATATTAATTGTATATATAATTTTTGTGTGTGATATATTATTAAGTGAAGTTTATTTATTTCATATAAAAGTTCTATCAACTGCATAAATGAGCTCATTATAATGTGAACGTTCCCCCATTAATATAAAGGAGCATGTGCCTAAATGAGACAGTGTGAATAAACTATTATTTATGGCATTTTTTTAAAAAACACCTAATTTCAAAGCAGTGAAGAATATTTCAAGGAATACACGATCTATTTAAATTTATTCAATTAGTACTCCTTTCTTCTGGACAATGTATTTACAGTTAATTTAAACTAAACTGCTGCTCACTTTTATAATACTTAATGAACTCTCATAAAATATTTTCTGGAATATCTCCCTTCCCTTTTGGCCTATTCCTGGGCTTGCGACTATGGTCACAATATCACAGCGATTATGCGCCGATTTATGTAACAGATGTCTATTCACAACTTTGTCGGTTCAGCAAATATGGTAACATAAATTTGAAATTTATGTGCAATTTCTTTAAAAATTAAAAATCCAGTGTTTAATAAAGCGTAAAAATTTAGTTAATGTGATTTTTCCCAGTTTTGTAAAAACAATTATAAAAAAATTATAAAGATTAACGTTGAGAATATTTTCAATTTTGAAAATTTATGTCAAGGATTTATTAAGTTATATATTTTCAATAAAAAAAGCGCAATTGAACACAACATTCTTATGTTGTTAAAATATAGACTTATATGGTATTCACACTGGCCTTAAATGACTGTTTTGGATCAAGAAGCACAAGTGAGAAGTAAATGAAGTAAAAATAAAGTAAATTTCTGCATACAAAATCCCATATGCGCAAATACAGATCCACACTCGCGCAAATGATCTCATTTTGTATAAACGAGTTTTAAATGAAATCCATATGTAAATGAATACATTGAACATACCTTAAATAAAAGTTTTTCATGACATTTTGACAAAGCTGTTTTTTACATATTTATGTAAAAGAAAAGAGATAAACAAATATTTGATGGTTACATAATCTTGAAAACGATGCACTTCTTTTTGGAACTTCTACTTCTCAAAACGTACTTAATCGAACTTAAAAATAAGTTTTTAGTTTATATTGTAAGGTTTGAAGATATATTTAACCTTCAACAAAATTTTTTTGACACATGCAAATAATCAAATCAACAGCAAGTTGTAAAATCAGCTGTTTGAAATGAGAACAAATGAATTACAACGAATGTAAAAACTTTCAAATGACTGATACGAGATGTGTCATTTTTGGCCAGTATAAACGTCAGTTAACATAATTAATTTCATTATTAATAGTTATCCCTTTTTCACTTCACATTTTCATTTGCAAGCGTAACTTCAAAAACATTCATCAAAAATAAAATTAGAATTAAATTAAAATTGTGGTAAATTCCCATACCACAAGCAGATAATATAACGTACTTAGGTATCCACCTAGACAGACGACTAACTTGGCGCAAACATATTGAAGCCAAAAAAATTCAGATGAAGCTTCAAGCCTCTAAGTTGCATTGGCTCATTAATAGCAGATCTTCCCTGTGCCTAGAGTATAAAGTACTCTTGTATAACAGCATCATAAAATCAATATGGACTTATGGTATCCAGCTATTTGGCAATGCTAGTGCTTCAAATATTGAAATTTATACAAAGAGTTCAGTCAAAAATACTAGAAATTATCACTGGTGCCCCATGGTATATTAGGAATGAAAGTATACACCGAGATCTACAAATTCCCCTAGTTAAAGCTGAATTTGACAATATAAGAAAAAAATACAATAAAAGGCTGACAGAGCATGTTAATCCCTTAGCAAGAAATCTCGCACTTCTATCCATTACTTCCCGTCTAAAAAGAGCTGACCGTCCATCCGTTAATTAATATTCAACAGCTTGAAGTGAAAACCGCACCTTTCTTTTAGTAATCTGTTAAAGTTGAACTACTTTCTTAAGAAATCACCTAACATTCACTCTAATGAAATTTAACCCATTAATCTAAGTGAGGTTCGTGATATAAGGTTTACTTACTTTATTTTATTTTATACAATGTATAATTAAAATAAAAATTTGTAACATTATGTAATTAGTTATAAGATTTTACAACTTATTGTTAGTCTCATTTTAAGAGAAGATGCAATAAATAAATGTATATTTTAAAAAAAAAAAAAAAGAATTAAATTAAGATTTGCTGTATGAATAGGGGTTTAGTAAAAGGAGATGAGTGATGGCAAAATTATTGGAAATTTTTAAAGCTAAATTAACATATGCGAGTATTTCAGAGAGCTTGTAATTTGGTTGTATATAATTGTTTGTTCATAGTACACAACTCGGCGATAAGATTTTTGAATAATAATAAATTTGAGTTTAAAAGAAAATTTTTTAAACTTCTTGGTGCTGGCAGTCACTGAACGTATACATTCAAAAACAGCATATGTTTTTAAATCGAAGACTTTCAAAACAAAACGAAAAATTTCAAATTTTCAGTTGTATCAATTCAGGAGACACTATTATATAGAATGTACATATGTATATATATATAACGCATTATCTTTTATGAATTATAGTAAATAGTAATTCAATAAGTAAGTTCCCGCAGTTGGAACTTATAAAATTGGGCAATTTAACAGATATCGGCGTAGAGCACATTATATTACATGAAAAAGTAAGGAAGCTGAAAATTAAAGCTAGGTTAGTAATATTAAGATTTTCTTAAAACAATACAAATCACTATAAAAGCACAATGTAGTACAAAAAAATTTGGCCACATTAGTTCCATCAATTCTACTGATATCTGCACAGAGCACGCATTATCTTATTAGGAAGACAAAAATTACTGATATTCAAATATTAATCAATAAAACAATTAAACTTTACATTTTTTTAGTAATAACATCATTGGTTGAACACAGTCAATCCCAAAACTGATTAAATTCTATGACTTCAACCTGTGGCATTTGCGAATACGAATGCGAGTACCGCCTTGCTGTGCTGAATGCATTGCTAAATGCATTTACTGGTAATAAGGCTACGGTATCGATGAATGGTGTGGCTTACCAGATAAATACCGCATTCAATCTACAATTTATCCCAACTGATTTGAGTTCCAAACCAGTAATTTGGTTACAGCAAAATATGCAAATTCATTTACATCAAATTAATGCAGTTTCCAAAATTCTGATGAGAGTTTCCTGATGCATATTTGATATTTGTTGTAAAAAAAATAATTGTTTGTAATATGGCAAATTTTGATGTGAAATATTTCTGACATTTGCAACATAAATGATGTATTGTTCTAGAGCAAAATTATTCATAAAAAATTTGTTCGTCGAACTATAATTTTTGAATAATAGTAGAAAAACCTATTGAATGTGTCATAAATCATTAAGGAGTTGATAAGGTTGATATTGCTATTTCGATTTATTCAAACAATGTCATTTGTAATAAATCATATAAAAGTCAAGAATAATTCAGTAATTAATTAAAATCATGTGGTAGCCATCAAAGCATGTTTCCAAAAATATCTGCACTACCGAATAAAATTATACCTATAAGTAAATCAAGTTGTAACCATAAAAAAAAGTGCTTAGTGTGAACGTGACAGGACTTGTTCGACAAAGTACATGAGGAAACTTGACAACTTAATCCTATCTAATCCTCTTAAAATTTAAAAACAGCTTCCGAAATTGTTTGTGACCTAAATGAGCTTGTGGAGCCTTCGTCAAATGTTTAACTTCTCTAAGTTGAGGAAAAATTTTTTTAAAGTTTGCAAACGAACTGCCACAAGCCTGAGAGCACAATTTCATAATGGCTTCAGTTTTCAGACAACATATTTTCCACAATTTAGTTTCTTTCAAGTTAGGACTTGTACTCGCTACTCGGTATTGAAGTGATGTCTACATTAGCACACATAAGAATGTTTTTGTGACATTTTAGCAAATTCCACGGCACATGCGGCTGTAAAAATTTTGCGTGACAGCACATTTCAAATGCACAGAAAATTAATTTTAATAATTAATTTTGTGCGTGAAGTGCGTGAAACTTTTCGAAAAGTTAAAAAATTTTTCTTAAATTTTTGATGACATGAATGCTAAGAATTTTCGACAATTTAATTTTACTTTACCTTCTTACGGATTTCTAAGAATAAAAACATACTTGGATATTTTAAATTTTAATTAATATTCTAATTGTGTAAGATTTTAAAATTTATAGGTCGCAAATATTACATATAATTTAATTATTGAAAGGAATTTAAATTTAAACTATCACAGTTATAAAGAGATTTATAAAGAGTATAAAAGTTATAGTTGTTGTTATTGTTGTTGTAACCCGCCGGGACCTGAAAGCAGATAACATGAAATCATTACAAGACGAATACATGGGATAAGGAATGGAAAAGGTGGGAGTGAGTGTTGGGATGAGGGAAAGGGGAGGGGTAGGAGTAATTTGAAACTAACCAGGATCCAGTCGAAGAAACCTAGCCACTTCAAGGGGACGAGTCCAAAGGTCTATTGGACTTAAATTGGTGTGTGCGTTGGGGCAAGAAAACAGATGGGCGACGTCATGGGGCGTGGAGCTGCAGTTTGGGCACACATTAGGAATGGACGTGTTAATACGTGACAAGTAACTGTTAAGCACATGACTATATCCTGATCTCAATTGAGATAGGACAGTTCTTGCCGTACGAGGAAGATTACGTTCATCCTGGGAAATGTTAGGCGGAGGCCTATTAAGTTATAGTAAATATTTGCACTTACTTTTCATTAAATAATTGGCTAATAATTGAAAACAAATTAAGTATTTTTAGTTTAACAAGAGACGTAGTGGTACTCGCGTAGGTAAGGTTAGTTTAGGTTGATTTGATTGCCCATATATTAAATAATTGGTTATTAGCGGTACCAGACTGAGTCTACCTCAAATAAATAGTATATGCCATCAAGGATTGCAACGTTTTTAACGATTCTAAGGAGTCAATTACCAAAACAAATTCTATATATATATATATAAATATATATATATTATATTTTAAATTTTATGACATAATTTAAAACTATATTTAGTAAATTTGTTGTTGTAGTTCATTAATTTTCGAAAAACCGATTCGTAAATCATCACGATAATACATCATGTTCTGGATTACGAAATTACCTGATATATTGATGGTTCAGTGACGAAGAAAGCAGCTGGGGTTGAAGGCCTTGGACCTGAGATAAGAAACTCAGAATCAATGTTATTACCTTTCAAGCAAATATAAACACTATAAGTAGGTATTCACTTCAATATTAAACATAACGATTTTAAAAAATAGTTAACTTGACAGACAGCCAAGCATCCAACAAGACACTTAAGTCTCAACAAAAAACAACAAAACTGGTCTTTAAGTATGTATTTGAAAAAGCTGAATATACTAGCGCGAATCAGTCAAGAATGATTTGCGTTGATTCTAGGGTTCATTGGGATTGCCCAGAACCGTTCCTGTTCATTAAAAAGTTTAACCTTTAAAAGAGAAGAGATAAAAGGGAAGAGATAAAATAAAAAGAATTACATGGGGAAAATCGGCCAGCTTAATTACAGGGACCAACAGCGTGAGTCAATATAATAAATGTGAAAAATTAATAAAAAAATTATGGAGAATTATAATATGAATTCTAACACCACATTGTAGTTTGAACCATTATTCAAATAAACTGGTAATCATTTCCGATGGTATTCGAGAGGTCTGTAAAGCGGTGAAGCGGACCACCGAGTACGTGGTGATGACTTGATCTGCACTAATCTGTAAATTAAAAAAGATCTTTTAGAGTTAAACAAATACTTCTACACCTCTTAGTGACAGCATTTAGTAAGTCAGTTGTGGTACAAGTATGGTGCGGAACAAATGGGGGCTTGAATAAATATTTCAATTCGATATACAAAATATCTTACATTAAAGTACTGCTTGTAATATTATTTCAAAACCAAAACCACTATAGCTTAGTCATAGCTTTAATTTATTTACAATCTCTGTCTTTGTTGTCTTATTATATATATCAAAATCAAACATATGTGGGCTTGAGGAATAAATATGTTATTTAATTTTGATTTATAAAATATCGTATTATTATTGTTAAAAAAGACTATGGTATATTATGACTAATAAGATCTATAGTGTTATTCTAAAATAAAGTTTTCTAAGCTTATACGAAAATATATTGAAGCTATTACTAAATTTATTGAACATTATTTTGTTTAAATATTCAAAATAATTTTAATTCAATGATAAGCTTTCATTAAATCAAGACTGTAGATATTAGATTTAACTAAAAATTTTTAATAAAATTTAAATATTAAACTAAAAGTAATCAAAATCAGCAAAAGTGTGAAAAAAAATTACTTATATAAAATTATTAATAAAGAGATTTTTCGAAAAATAGTGAACAAAAATTCATTTTATATTATTTTAATTAATTGAATTTTTGGCTAACAATACAACTCTTTCTAGTATTGTCAAATACCCATCCTCATAATTTTTTAAGACTGCAAGTACCAGGAATCGAACTCGTGTCCTGCCAAATTTACGGCTCAGAGTCAGCGCTCTTTAAACAATTGATCCAAAGCTGTATTTGACTTTTATGTTTGCACATTTTTCTGGAGTTTTGTTACTTTGCTTTACTTTGAATAATTGAATTAATTAATTGTATTTTTATTTTTAAATTTTAATACTATTTTGTTTGTAAAATTATTAATTATTCTCTACAGTTTTTAAATTTTACAAAAAATTAGCAAAACAAATTTTTCGTGTGAACGCAGTAAAAAATCTTTATTATGGCGAGAAGTGAATTGCAGCTTAAAGAGTCCCTAGATCCAAACATCAGAGTGCAGCTGCTCAAAGTGGAGCAATCCAGCGTAGCTCGACTTAAGCAACAACAACAATTAGCGAATAAACAAACTTTTATTTGCTAAAAACTGTTTTGTCTCAACGACTCCTTGTATTGTTGGCAAAGCAATTCGGAGTTGTACTTCCTTAAATTGGGCAATTAAAAGACGGTAAAGGTGGAATTTTATGAACATTTTGTATTTAATTGCTTTTGTAGGAATTGTTTTGTTAACAATTTGAAGTTTGCAAAAGTTTTTATCAATTCAACGTAACAATTGTTGTTGATGAGTGAAATAAATAACTAATAACTCGAAAGGAATCCATCAGGAATTCACTACAAATATTTACCCAAAATTATAATAGTAAAATATACTAGCATTATTTTCAATTTCAAAATAACATTGTTACAGAAGTTTAATATTATCATAGAAAATTAAATATTTATTTTAATTAGCATTTTAAACGAAACTCACTTTAAAGTGAAATATTCTATATTAAATATATATATTAATCTCAAACATTATAAAAGTACATATTAATATACTTAAATAAATTTTAAATACAATAAAAATAACTACTACTTAAGTTTTATTATTAACCGGTAACTGTAGATTAAATAATCACCTATCGAAGTTAGGATTTCAATCTAACTCAAACTGCAGATACTGTAGAGAAGAGAGAGCAACTGCATACCATGTGCTTGAGGATAGCCCGGCACTGATACATAAGCGGAAGAAAAACCTAGGTGGGTATTTCATGGAACATAAGTATCCAAGATTAGGAGAGTTAAGTTTTATACTGTCTTTCATTAAAGAAATCTGACTTGGAGAAACACTCTAAACACTCAGTGCACGATCTCTTCTTTTCAATAATAGATAATAGAAGTTTTATTAATTTTATTATCTTATAATCATTATAAACTTATAATCTTTATTATTGTGTGACACATTAATGAATATATGAAGTAACAAAAATTTAAGGCGTTAAATTTTTTTCTTTTTTATATTTTTTTAATTTGCCAGCCTTGAGTACTCCAATTTCCTTAGCTTTATTAACGAAAATTCTCTTTTAATCTAAATCGTATATATTATAGGCCCCCACACATGTTTTTATACTGTGTCTTCAGATTATACACTACGTGGATATAAAGAATATCAAGTATCGGCCAATACTCTGTGTATTGCATTAAAATCCGTAGATAATTCCTTTCACTGACATACCTTTTACCTATCTTAATGATAATTATGTATAGATTTATAAACAATTAAGTGTATTTTACATTATTTTTTTAAGGTGTGTAAGTGTATCTTCCATGTAAATGTTATCCTACATTTTTCTTATAAAATTTGTTAAAAATGCTAATAATATTTGTAAGTTCGTATTTCAGATTTACGACCACAACCATTAGAAAGTCTGCGAAGTTTTTTAAACTTTGTACTTCACAAAAAAAAAAAATGTTAAATATTCTAATAATTCAATTTTTATTTTTCCCAAGATACTTCCCTACTTCTCAATTTAATTTTGACACTTTTAAGTTATTTTTCAAAAAGCTTGAAGTAGCCTTTTTACTTAAACCAAGATATGCAGAAAATTTTTAAAAATTGTGAAAATAAAATATTTAATTTGTTGCAAAATAAAATTTTATAGGTTATAAAATACTTTTATTTCATTTAACTTTCAAGTTAAATAAAATATGCTGTAGTGATACAAATATGTAATAAAAAAGTAGTAAAAAGTTGAATAGGAAGAGTTAATTAAAAATTTTGTATTAGAATACTTTTTAAAATTTTTGTTATAATATTTTCACACTTGTTGCTTGATTATATACATGTATTCAAATATGTATAATGCTTACTATATTTTTCTATATTATATGTATATCTACATAACTATAGTAACTATAGCACATACGTATATGTAAATCAGTGATGATTACTCTAAGGGGCGGATAAAATGTAAAAATAAAATAAATATTTAAATAAAATATATAAATTCATTAAAATATCTTTACGTCGAGAATTAATATTATTTATAACATTTACATATATATATATTGCTAAGTACAACGTTTTAGTAAAATCAATTATATATAATTGTATATGAAAACTCATTCAATTTGCGACTATTTGATTCTATAGTTGTTAGTTACGCTCATAAGTTTGCAACTCAAATCGCAAAACATTTCTATTATATTTCGTCACTTTTAGCAGTAGCCCGAACAAATTTCTCTCGTTAGGTGTGCCGAAAAGTTGGCCGCACATTCATACGTTGCAAGTGTGTTCAATTTTGCTTGATCATTGCATAAAAATGTTTGGTTCTGAGTAAAAACTCTTTTGTTTAAAAAAAATTGTTAAATGTTATAAGAAGTATGTGGAAAGTTGTATTTATTCCATACTGATAAAATATTAAACTTATATTGTATGTATAAGTTATTTTGTTAATGAATTGTTAAATATTATATTGTGAACATATTGTTGCCTAATGTAATATACCTATTATTAATAAAACATCTTATATATTTCAATTTATCATTTTTAATTTAAGCGGTACATGTAAAAACAACATTGTAGAAGGACTGCAAGTCCTTCCAGATAGGGCACGCGTCGTCACTGATGTACTATAGATAAAAATTTTTATATTGAAGTTGTTCTGTGCATTTCAGTGAATATAGAAAATGAACCTTTCTTCTTCTAAAAATGAGTTTATACATATTTTTTTCTTCCTCAGAATTAAAAGATTTTGTTAATTGATAATTGTTGTATCTTTTGAGGAATTTATGTCCCAATTATTTGAAGTGAAGTATAGGTGCTCAGAGCATCTATAGTGGTTGGCATATTTAGGTTTACTGTACTGTTTTGTTAACCTTATTTAATTCATTTGACTAACTTTGAAGTTTTATCAAAATTATTTTCCATGTCATGACTAATACCCAAATAGTTCTTGAATAGTTTCGTTATTAACCAGGCGCTTTTAGTCAATTTTAATTTTTTAGGGTTGTTGTCCTAGGCGTATATCAGTCTATATTTTAATTTATAGATTGATATAAGTTTATAAATTAAAATATTAGAAATAAAATATGCTATACATTGCCCAGAATTATGCAAAATAAATGAAATCGTAATATTTTTTAAAATATGATTCGTTCAATGAATACAATTTTTTTAATTAAGTATCAAAAGTAGCAAATATTATATTCATCTGTGAGATTACATTGTCTGCAATAAAGTAATTATTTTGGCGAATAATAATTTCCTTTCTGAAATGAAATGCAATTTGGTGCATTTCTTGTCATTTGCATTTTTCGCTTTACTGCATTAAAATTGTATTTGGCTTATAATCTGACGATGAAGAAAGATGCTGCAAAAGAACAAAATTGAAAATGCATTTTTAAGGATACCTTCAGCAAAAGATAAAAACGACGGACTGCAAAAAAAAAAATTAAAAAAAAAATTTAATAAATAAAATAAAATAAACAAGAGCTACTTATTCATTTTCTGCAATTTATTTTGTAAATAAATATTTATTTAAAAGATAAATGTAGCTATTTTGCTAAAGATATTGTATTTATTTTATTAAAATACAACTTATTAATTTAAGGCTATTATTTAAATTAATCGAATTTATTGATAATATTTTTACTAACTATATAAATATAATAACTGTACATTAAAAAATATTTCATTAAATTTAAAATTTTTTCAGAGAGGAAGTAAATTTCTAGAGCATAAGTGATTTAATAATTTAAAAGTATAATTAATTTACAGCATAATGTTAAATAAAAAGCTTGATTTATTCTTTTGACTCATTGATAAGTTTGATTAAAACAAAATTAATTAACGTTCTTTACCGCCAATCAAGGATTTATTTTTTACTTTTATATTTTCAGATACAATTAATTTTTGCATCAAGAAAGATGAATATGTCAGGTAAATACTGAAATATAAATTATTTATTGAGTTCGTATAAAATATAGGAACTGTATGGAGAATGGAGAAAAAATTATTGCATTCTTAACTTATTTATTGAAAAGAAAAAAAATATATGCATCAAAGAAATTCAATTTAATTAAAACATGAATCTCACAGAATGGGATTGGTTGAGTTTAAGAGGACATAAGTACTGACAACGTAAGTCGGCTTAAATCTTTTTAATACTTTTCCATATAAAATTTTGCATTTTCATTTTTGTTTATTCTTTCATCGATAAATAAATTATTTGTAGATTTCATCGGAAATGGGTTCAAATATAACTTTATGGAGTATGAATCTGAAGCAGTATTAAAATAGGATATTCAACCATATTTCACAAAATTATTAAAATATTTATTATAATATCCAAACTTACGAGGGAAGAATGATCAGGATTGTTTTTCATTCAGCGTGAAGTTGTGTACTTAACACCGGGTGCTGACACCCAAAGATGAGTATGGGTTTACATAGAAAAATTTGATTCGAGAAGAGAATAAATAATCAATAATACTTCTAAACTTTATCATGTTAAACGACAATAAAGGAATAATAACAACGGATCTATGCCCAAAGTACGATTACACTACAGACGCTCGCTTCGGTAGCTGACGAACCTCACTGTGATTTAATTTTATGAAATACAGTAGTCAGTAACTGGAGTCTCTGAGACCAATTATAAATTATTACTGATCTTATATTTAAATCACTACAAAAATATTATTTTATTTTATACAGAGAGTATAGAAATTACAATGATGATTAGTTCCGGAAATAATGGTGGCAAGATTATCGTTGCTATTGTTCTTCTAATTACTAAGAGTTTGGATAAGAATATTTTATTGTAAGGCTATACTAAAATAATAACACAACTGTAAATTTATATATGCACTGTGGATTTATACAAAAGTTATACACAAATTTTTTCTAATTTTATTAAATTATGTCAGAGACATTCAGTATATTATTTATATACCAGTAATATAATATATCAAATAATAATGCTGCTAAATTTGTATGGCGTGTGTAATAAAAATTTATCGTATATGTTGTACATATAAGCTAATCAGATATATATTTAAAATCAGTTAACAAAAAAACAAAAATTTCATTGATCCTTATCCGATGTATTTCTTTTGTTTTCGCTTTTCTGATTTAAGCGGTGTTCACACCGACATATTGTTTTGTTTCTTTTTTGTTTTCTTTTTCATATTCTTTTTCATGTTAACAAAATAAATTTTTTTGGAATTGTAAGGAAAATTGTGGTTTGAATGAAAGATCGTTTAATTGTAAAATAAACAAAACAAACAGGGTAGGATTTAAAAATCACACAGTTTAATAAATAAGGTCTGTTTTACTAGCCAATAATAGGTCTGTTCCACAAGCTACTCATAGTAAAACTCAAGTAAAACACACATAAACTACAAACTGAGAGCGTAGCACAAATAAAATGCCAAATTACGCTCTAACCAGCTGATTCACACATCACACATCACACATTTTAAATAAAATGTACAAATAAAGTCTGTGTAGCATTTTCAAATTTTGGCAGGAATATTACGATCAGATGCTCTCAGTGATAGCAGAATTTAATACAAATTGAAGTTCAATAAATAAGTAAATTAATGTAAATAAGTAAATTTAAGTTCAATTCTAGTAAAATACAAGCAAATTATTAGTTGAGAGCTAGATGTCTCGACAAAAATGTTACTCTTCGACTCCTTGAGCTTAAGAATGCTCTGCGCCGATACAATCTGTTAAATGTGCAAATCAAAAGAGTTTGATACACCCAACGAATAGCGCTAGTCTTTGCATATTCATTTTGTCTGCTCAAATGGAACTCTTTAAGTCTTCTTACATCCAACGATAAGCTCACGGTTTCCCAAGTGCAAAGATATTATACTTTAACACACCTCATAAGCCCTCTTGTGATATGCTTCACCAATTTTTATTTTTTATCGACCTGCTTAATTATATTAAATACAAGCCTCATTATGGTCAAGACCTTTATCTGAACGACAAATAGGTATATAAATTTTTCGCGTTTCTCGCGTGATCCCGTTCCCTAATAGCGTTAGATTTTACTAAAAATAAACGTTGTGCAAGAGTCACTAATTACTATTTAGCAATAATATGTTTCTTCCTTTCCTTATTCATATATAATTTTGGCTTAAATATATTTATTGTTTTAATATAAAGCCTACTGTTTTCTAACATCTGCATTTCCCTTGATTACTGGAAAGGGATTTTATCTATTGACCAACGATTAGCTTTCCATGTATCAGAAAATCAAATTCCATAATAATCTTTTTACACAAAATTTGTGTGAAGTCTGGTGTTAAACATCTGTTTTGGATAAACAAACCAAGTAAAAGTTTGAGTTGAAGTTTGAGTACAAAAGTTTGAAATTGTTTTATTACATTTAATAATTATTATTTTATACTTAATTTGATTTGAAATTTTTATTTCACATACTACAATTTACAGTTCAAACATAACAGTTTTTAGATTAATACAAATTTTCCAGTTTATTGCATCCTTTTGTTCGTTTGATACGGAATTTAAGTTCACTTTGAGGTTCTCTTTTACTTGAAAATTAATTGATAAACGAACCAATTAAAGACCTGTTTGTGGAACATATCTTTTCTATTTTAATGAATTAGTTGACGTAGCAATAACTTAGGCAGAGAACTTGACCCGTGTTACTGAAAGAGAAATATACATATTTTAGCACAAATAATCAAATTCATAGTTTATTATAAATGATTTTTACTACCCTATTAAAGCTAGAAATCGTTGTCATACACGTAGCGAACATAGAACATTTAAACTAGAGAATGCAAAAATCAGCATAAGAACACAAATACAAGTTCTATCCGGTCACAATGTACTTTATATGTTAATATCTACACAAAGATATAGATCAATTGCATTAATTGATCAATGTTTGTATTCCATAAGCTATAACTATACATAAAATATATTAACATATAACATATTAGCATATATATATATATATACGCATCACATCATATATATATATATATATATATCACATCATCCTCATATATACAAAATATATATTTTATATATACAATATATATACAAAATATATTACCTTATGTAGCTACCTTCTTTAGTTCTAAAGACATGTTTTTAGTAGGTTAAAAGTCCCCCACTGACTTAGGCTTTTGAGTCCGCGTTTGAAAAAAAAGCCTTATGTGGCTACTCTGCAGGTTGCAGCAACGACTATAAAATATTTTTGGGTCTTTGTAAGGCCCTTGTGTTTCGTTTTCGTTTCATTATTTTAATAAGAAATCATGTTTTAACTTGCTTTATCAAAGCGCGTTTGTGGTTTTTATAAAGTGGATGTCTTAATATATTCGTATTGGAAATTTTGGAGAGAATACATAAGAGAATACATAAAATCTAAAACTGACTTAAAAGGATTGTTCTGCAGTCGATAACTAATAGTTAAAATATATAAATATTCTGCTTTGTTTGGGTAAGTTTCATTTTTTTTTACTGAGGCACGCCGCCGCTAATTTATGATTTGTATAGTGAAAACCTCTTATTAAGAAAAAATTGGCGTGTTTAGTGAAACCAACGATTCAGATATGACGTTGATTAACGCTGATGATGTGTTGAAAAATGTTTCTCAAGATTTAGGAATTGAAGAGCATGAAATGAAGGAGCCGCAGTTGATTGAAAAAAATTGTCTTGTGCAGTGGCAATATATGAAGAATTGTCAATGGCTTCAGTATGAGACTGTGTTAAATATGAATATTGAGAAAGCATATAAATCTGGTGCGGAATATGTCGATATGTCGGCAAGGTCCAATTTTGCATATATAGATTTTAAACGTATGGTAATGGTAACCGGTAATTTTTTAACACAAGTTACTGTTGTGAAACGTGAGGAAGATAAGCTAAAAGCAGATATCAAAATTTTACCGCCGCTGTCTAAATTTGTTAAAAGTGGTCTTGCGCTACAAGTAGCACATGATATTATCGATAAGTCCTTGACACATTTAAATAATTGTTTTCCTGGTGTTGTTTATTCTGCACAAGAGAAAGTTTCGACATGTGATTCATCCTCTGGATCAGAAAGTTCCAGAAGTAGTAATAATACAATCGATATTGAGGAACCGATTCAAAATAACATTGTACAATGCGATACAAATGAACTATTTAACTTGATGGAAATTTTACTATATGCATCAGAAGAAAATGCTAATGAGTTAAGTGAAGAAACTAAATCTCTTTTGAGTGTTACGAAATACGAGAAGCAGTTATTGGAAAATATAACTAAATATTCTGATGACACAGATTAAGACATAATTTTGTATATACCATTTTGTTTTAAAAATTAATTTTTCAATACATTTTTCTTATATGCAGTAATCCTTGTTAAAGTCAATAGAATCTAGCCTTAATTTCACATTTAATTGAATACCAGTACTTTCATTAACTAATAAAGCATATAAAATTAAAATAGGGTTTTTTTTATTTGAAAAATTATTTCAAGTGCAGTTAAATGTTAAACTTCAACTTAACAAGAGATAGTTATTGAAAGCACCAAAGAGTTTAAATTATTTGAATCTGTTGATACTTTTAAATTTTTTTTTTTTTTTTTAATTAACTATTTTTTTTAAAAATATCTTAAAGAATTTTATTAGTTTTGATGTTATTATATTATTATTATTATTATAATATATTCAAAAGTAAATACAATTAGAAATTGATTGCATATCTGCGAACTAAGTCTTAGAACTTAGTTTCCAGTTACTTCTATTTCGTGCTATGTATCTAAGCTCATTTAACGATTTGGATGTTTCGGCGAATACTGTTCGCCACCATATTGTCTTTGGACGTCGTCTTCTTAATCTAGCTAGGTTCCATTCTAAAGTTGATGGAGCTATACTGCGCATATCTTATCTTATTGTATGATCGAGCCATCCACATTTCCGCTTTCTGATATCATTTAGTTTACCAATTTGCTTGGTAATCTCGGAAAGTCTGGCATTAGTGATTGTACGTGGCCAGATTGTACATCAGCTTGCATTTTGGTAATGAGGTTTGTGGTATACCATATTGTCATTTTTTGAGTTTACAGTACTTTAATGTCAAAGAGTTACTTTAAGAAATAAATATTAATTTATATAGTAAAATCTATACATTATACCATGAATCAGTTATATACAATCTTATAATTTGAATCAGATGAGTTGAATTTAGATCTAGCTATATAATATCATATTGGATTTTATCGTAGAGGAATGTATTGACACTTATACCTTAAAACATTAAAGCAACAATTGATTGATGTAAGTTTATTAGTTTACCAAATAAATAAATTTAGTTAAATAATTGTGTCAGCCACTAAGGCATTTTCTAGGCATTTATTTTAATACGACAAAATTAATTTAACCATAAACAATTAATTATTGTCCTGATTTAATTATTCGAAAAGTTTCAATAAACTCTGGCCGCCTCAAACTATAAAACTATAAAAACTAATTAAAAAGTATTTTGTTTTTGTGTGCATAAATGATTTGCGGAAGGACATAAACAGCAAACTATGAATAGATTTTTGCATTCAGGATTCTAGTCGTCTATAAAATAAAAAATATAAAAAAATATGTATTTACTTAATACAATGTGGGCAACCAGAAGATTTATTTCAATATAAGTGGCAGATAAACAAGTAGAAATTAATTGTTTAAATATCGAAGTTTACCATTCAATTTGTTTTATTAAAGCAAGTGTCCATTAAGGAGATGCTAAAGTTTTGCAAAAGATAAGTATTTAGAAGATAAATACAATTGGTTGCTAGGGTAATGTAATAAAACAGCTTAATTAAATTTAATTGAAGTTAATTTAAATATATAAAAAGAAATATTTATATATAAAATAATTGTAAATTCTTCTAGTAAGTAGAATTGTTGTTCATATCTACAGGAGAATTATACAATTGCAAGAGAGTATATAGAATTGTTTATAGAATTATTGTAAAAAAAAATTGACAATTTATTGCCCAGCTTTTTGTGATATCAGGTACATGCTTTTAATAAGGAATAGAAGGTCCACTCAGATAGTACTATAGCTAGCACATCTCATTGGTTCAATTAAATTGAATTTGCTACTAAAAGAAATAAGTACTTATAGCTTTTCTTTACGACTTCTATGGTTATTTCCTTAATAGTTTTTGAATAACAAGCTAGTGACTTTGATTATCTAAAACAGGGCTATCCAGATGTTCGAATGCGATTGCCGGCCAATACAAATCATTGTATAGATTGGAAGGCCACAAAAACAAACACATACGTGCATAGTTGCTTTTGACAAAAATAAAAATATGTTTATAATGTTAAATTTTGTTTCATTAATTTATCAATTTAAATTCATTTATTTGGTATACCATTAAAATGAAATAACGTAAGTCAAATGAAAATTTGCGTAATTGTAATAGATTAAACATAAGCCGCACAAACATAAGCCGCGGATAGCTCTGATCTAAAATACAATTAAAAATTTGGTACATCAAAATATTCTTTATAAAGTAATGAAAATATCTTCATTTTGTTTCTCGAAACAGCTTAAATTTATTGAATATATGTTATTAAGACGTTGACAACTTTTGACGCTCTCAGATTGTCATCTCAAATCCAATCCAGGGATATATCTGTAGCAACATCCACAAATATCCAATTAGATGTGGCCTTCCATTAACGTTTCCAAATATGAATCATCGTATTCAGTAAAGAACTAATTTATCAAGAGCAAAGTGGATAGATTTTTAATGGGGAATCCTTTTGTCATCATGTAATGGCATGTTTCACTTTCGAACCAATTGCTCCTCTATATTGTGATTTTCTGTTGATGAGTTGATGTTTTTATAGTTACTTTTGGATTTGGATTGTCCTCTATGCAACAATTTTATTTGTCATATCCAACAATCAAAGGTGAACTTCATTATTCAAAAAAAATGTGATGCGAAAAATCGTAATGATTTTTTATATTTACTTTAATAATTTTATTCGGCGTTTCATATTCTATAATTTAATTTTTTATATATTGTAAAATGGTGAACCTTTAATTAAACAAACAATGCTTTTAACGATAGTTTTGATTGATATATAACTGAGCAAATTCAGTTGAATAATGAATAATTATTCAGTAATCATTCTCTTAGTATATCCACCACTACGAAAACATATATGCCACAAGCTTTTTGTAATATATTATAAAAGAACAGTCAATGGGAAAGGGGCTCAAAATGCTGAATATAAAAATTTAAAGCAACAATTATGTATATACTATAAATATCTGTCTATTCAATACTAATGCATCATGATATGATTAAGTGGTTAACAAAAGTATAGTCGAACGATACCTTTCTGAAAGCACCGAATCGATGTAAGTTTCTTTGAACGGGCTATCATTACGTGAAATATAAAATCATGGAAAGGGATTGGAATAAGGGAAGTGTGTCAAATATACATTTAAAATAGTCAAGAAAATATCAATAATAAATTTAGTTGTTGAACTCTCATAATAACTAGTGAATTTATTTAATGATTATTTTGCCACCATTGAGTTGAGCATCATTCTCTCTTCTCTTCCATATTTTTACAGAAAACCTCGTCTGATGATCGCAATATTGCATAATGGTTTTTATGTCATCACATATTTTTAATAGATATAAAGAGTGTATACTTGATAAGTGCGTTTACCCAAATCAATCATTTGCATTTTACGTATGCAGTTTAGCTCAACCATTTATATATGAAAATATACTATAGTCGTTTCTTATTTATCGTCGCCGATTTAAATAACTAATGCCCACTTACGTTAAATTACTTACATTTTTTGGATTTTTTTTAAATTAAATTTTTTTTATATAATTTTCTATTAATATATTTTTATTCACGTGACAGATAGAATTATTCAATTGAAAAAATGTAAGTTTCTAAATTTGAAAAATTGAATTGCATTTACGCTATATGTTAGAAGATAGCAACATTTTTATATCAAAAATGCTTAAAATGTGTCAGTGGTCGGAAAATATATATGACCTAAAAATTTAATATTTTTTGCGCTATGGAATAGTTTTACTGCAATATTTTACGAGTTCTGTAGGATGCGATTTCTGCATGGATAAGTAAAATAAATTTTTATCTAATGTTAGTTGTGAGTTTATGAACTGAACACTTCAAATAAAAATGTTTATATACTTTGTTTTTTTATTTTAAATTAATTAAAAAAAAATTTTCTATTTGAATAAAAGTTTCGATTTATATAAAGATTTTTAGAAAATTCAAATTATTGTAAAAATAACTATTTTAATGTACAAGATTTAATATACATTAATTAATAAAAATTTTACACAGCAAAGTAACAAAAACTCCATTAAAATGTGCGAACATAAAAGTCAAGTACGGCCTTGGGTCAGTTGGTTAAGTTGCGCTGACTCTGAGCTTCATATTTGGCAGGACACGAGTTCGATTTCTTGTACTTGCAGTTTCAAAAAAATTATTTACAAATAATTAAATATAAGAATTATTTCCAAGACTACTGATTATGGGTATTTGGCAATACTTGAAACAGCTGTATGGTCATTTAAAAATTCAATTAATTAAAATAATATAAATTGAATTTTTGTTGTTGTAGTTCACTACTGTTCGAAAAATCTCTTTATAAATTAATTTTAATTAATTCTACTTTAAAAGTTTACAAATTTTCATTGTCTGTGCTCTTTGGTTGTGCATTGTTGGTCCATTTATAACTTCTGGACTACTTCATAGCCTTGTGTGATTGAAACGGTGTTTTAAGTTTAAAAGTTCTAAGAGTGGTAATAGCAGTCTATAAATTATATATGGATTATTAAGTGCTATAAATATTTCCAGAGACCAATGATGAATGCTTGAAGCAGTTGTATTGTCAGTGAAAACAATTTAATTAATTAAAAATAAGTATGTAAGTCTTATTGTTTTACTTTCTTACTTTTAACCTCTTGCGACTGTTTTTGTTCAATAATATTTCATTTATTAATTTTATTATTATTATTTTCGGATTAAAACGAATTCAATTTAGACGTAATTTCATGAGAATTTAAATGCATAAAAGTTTAACATATTTGCAATGATAAAATAAATGAAATAACTTAAGAGTTTTGCATTAATATTTTTATAATAAAATTTTTTATTGGAACTTTGCGTGTAAATGCAATATGGTTTAATTTGGTAGTAAAGCGTTGGATTTTATATGGATTTATAGACCATAGGGAAGTGTCATTTAAGGAATGTAGTAGCATTTATGTGGGTTTTGCAATCCATTTTATTGCTACCGGAATCAGGTTAATGTCGCGTCATTTGAGAGGAAATTGAAATCACGCGACAAGAAAAATTGCTTTCATTTTGTTTACAATTTCCGTGGTGTTTAAATGGTATG